CCCCCCCCCCCCCCCCCCTGATGAACCACTATACCCCCAATAGACCGAAACTCTTGTTGAACCGCCAAAATCTTGCTGCACAGACGATGGCGGTTTAACGGGGTTTATTGACTGTACATTATTTTCTTTTGAAATCGGTGGTTTTTATTCAATCAATCAATCAATCCATCAGATTGCCCCTTACACCTCTGTGCTGATCAACGGGATTTACTGGGCAGTGGAGTCCCCGCGGTTGTTGACCATCCCGGACGCCAAGCAACTCAGCGAGCCCGTCGTGGCGCCGTGGCTCGCGGCGTCCCCGGGGGCGCCGACGTTACCCCACCGCCTGGTCGCCATCTGCGACATCTCCGCGGATCCCGGCGGCTCCATCGAGTTCATGACGGACTGCACCACGATCGACAACCCGTTTTGCATCTACGACCCCAGTCACCACACGACGCACTTCGACAGCTTCAAGGGCCCGGGTTTCCTCGTGTGTTCCATCGACAACATGCCGACGCAGTTGCCCCGAGAAGCCACGGACTTTTTCGGCGAGCTCTTGTTGCCGCACATGTACAGCATTTTGCAGTCGGATGCCCGGAAGAGCATGAATGACACGCATTTCTCGCCGGAAGTCACCTCTGTATGACCCAAAAAAAAAAATTAATTAATTAATTAATTCAATTTGCAATTAAAGTATTCTTTGCTAGTGATATTGCATGCTGTGAAAGATCACCTGATGATGGTCGTCTTTCTCTCAGGCATGGGATATACTTATATATGGCGATAATTTTGGGGGTGGGGCTGCAGTCCATGCAGTAACTCTAAAATTTAAAAAAAAATGTTTACACTGTATTTATTATTAGCAGTACCAATAATAAGCTATGGGTCCCCAAAGAATTCATAAAATGAGAGCAAATCCGTAAATACTGTATTGTATATATATAATGAGTATTAATGAATAAAATTATATTTGAAAACAATTGACAAGTTCCAGATGTCAATAATGCCTGATTTTGGTTTGATGCCAGCGGCAGTCATAAGTATTTTAATTAACACGTTTTTATTAACTTGCTTTCTTGTCCGTTTGTTTGTCCGGATCAAATTTTGCAACTCAAATTTTGCTCACTTCCCGACTAGCTAGGAAGCTGAAACTTTCAGGATAGCTTAGAAACTGATGACAATGCAATCTTTTGTGAAAAGAATAATTATAAGAATATTTTTTAAAAGAATAAAATAATTATAGTAGATTAAAAAATTAATCTAAAAAACCACGTTTTTCAAGTAAGACTAAAAAGCACAAAAAAATTTAGTACATTAAAAAATTACTAAAAAACCACGTTTTCAAAAAGCAAAAAATAACCTTAAACGTGGTGTGCATGGAGATTGTTGGGAAGAAGTGAAATACAAATGAAATAGATGCGCACCATGTTTAAGTTTATTTTTTTCTTTTTGAAAACGTGGTTTTTTAGATTAATTTTTTAATTTACTAAATTTTTTCTATCTTTGTCATCTGTCAAACTAACGTCCTCCTGTATTGTGATATTTCAATGGACAGACTTTCATTTGTGTCTAAGAAACATTTCTTCATTCCAAATTTTCTGGCAAGAAGGTAATATTTACTTGATATTTTTTTCTTTTCATATAGGCTGTGATCACAAGCAATGGGGAGCTAACCCCTGGATACCAATACATTACTTCCCTGAGACAGAACATAGCGTGAGTTCTCAATTTGCATTGCCTATTTGGTTAAATTATTTTTTAAATGTGTATTGACATTGAAATCAAATTGAATTTTAAAAGTCAAAATTATAAATTGGAAAATGCAATTTGATTATTATTATTATTATTATTATTGCCTTATGCTGTTTCTAATTACTGATATTTTGTTTTTGTTATCAGGGAAGGGAAGAAAGTGTATGCATTTACATCAGTTACGCAATTGTACATTTTGTGATGTATTTTCTTTTCTTTAAATATCCATATAAAGCTTGATATTTCTCTGTTTTCCATTCTGATGTGATGTAATGTGTGTTTGGATGAATGTGGAGGACATGGCTTGAATGCTGAAAAGCAGAAAATAAAGCTTGCTGTTCCAATTCAATTCAATTAATATATTCAATATTTAAATGTTTTATTAAAATGGAAATCAAATTTAATTTTAATATTCAAAAATGTAATTTGATGTTTATTATTTGGTTATTCAATATTTAATTGCTTCATTAAAATTAATTGTATTCTTATATTGTGTTGCAGCCTGAAATCAAGACAGAAGGTCAGTGGTGTGTCAATGGCAGAACCAAGACACAAGGTGTTGCTGCTTGGGGCAGGGTATGTCAGTGGCCCAGTTGTGGAATACCTGACAAGGGACAGAGGAGTCAAAGTCACAGTTGGTAAGACTTTCAATTTTTTAATCAAGTAGTCAAAGAAGTATTGGGGATTGCTTGTTTACAAAGAGTTGTTCTTCTTTTTGATGGGTGAATTGCACAGTCTTTCAGCATAATATATACTAAGCTCTCCTTTTTCTGGTATAAGTTAAGGATAGGCCATCTATAGATTGAATAAGGTGGTATTTTCTGGACTATTTTGACCAGATCTTTGTCAACTTTACTGGACCTCTCATTGTATACTTTTTACACTCAGGCCTGATGCCCTACTCTGCAATTTCAGGTAGGTGTCACCTGAATCACTTGCCTGACCAAACTTGATACAGTGGACTCTCTCTGCAATTATGTTCTTTGTAGTATATATAAAAACAGTTTCCATAAAAAATTTTCTACTCTGGTCCCAGTAAACCTTCCAATAATTCACAAGCATTTACTCTGCTGGGATGTTTTCTGCTTATAATGAACTCATTTTTTTCTATGAAAAATTGTTGTTCAGAGAATCCACATGTATTAGTGTCCTAGCTGAAGTCAAGTTAACCAAACCTACCTGGAATGAACCTGAGGGTGGACCTAATGGATATTCTGTGTGACTCTTATAGAAGGCCTCTGGCTATTATTAATAAGCTATGTTTGTAGACACACTGTTGAAGAAAGAAAAATATCTGTAAAATCATTTGCATGTGCATGTGCATGCTGATTGGTAAAATGCTGATGGTATAAAATTGTGAATTTGATAAAATTGATAAAATGCTGATGGTATACAATTGTGAATTTGATAAAATGCTGATGACCTAAAATTGTGAATTTGATAAAATGCTGATGGTATACAATTGTGAATTAGATAAAAAGCTGATGATATGAAATTGTGAATTTGATAAAATGCTGAGGGTATAAAATTGTGAATTTAAAATTGGTTTGGATACGTATGTGTAGTGATTCTGACAGTTCTCAAATTCCTGAAGGACAGCTCAGGAAGTTTAAAAACAACTTCCTGAAATTCATACAATTTTGGGTCTTGGAACAAGAAATTGTAAAATTTTTACTTTTTTTTCTCTCTTTCTGATTCCAGAAACAGGTCCAAAGTTTCAACTCAGAACTTGCTAAAGTTTGTTGTGTGTTTTTAACCAGAAAATATTGGCATTTGAAATTTTACAAGCAAGCTACGTTTTTCTCCAAGAAAAATGTGATTCCTTAAAATTGTTTTACCTGTTTTTTTATTGTGCTGCAAATCCATGGCTATTTTCATGCAAGAACATTTTAGTTTGTGCAAAAATCACAAAATAGTCAGCAAGATCAAGATATCCCAGGACTAAATCCCTTTTTTAATCCTCCATTGGCAATCTTATGGCAGGAAAGCTGAAAACGTCACCCAGTTGATAAATTTATTTTCCATCAAACATTTCATATATTCTAGGGGAAAAAAAGAATTTTTCTTGAACTAGGCCTTTTTGATCCGTTCAGGGTTTTTGAAAAAGTTTATTTATGTTTTCTTAATGAATGCTCAATTTTTCAAAAATATCCTGGCTTCTTAAATCACAGCTATATGAGCCTCATCAATTTCCCTCTTTTTTTTCCATAGATGACAAAGGACAGAGTCAGTTTGCTCAGGTGCATGAGCGCAAGAGTTTGAATTGCAATTGTTGAAAAAAGAAAATTGGTTTACTATATACAGTATATGTATAGGTAAACGAGTCTCATGCCTTTTTTTTTTTT